CAGGCAGAGAGAGAGGGAGAAGCAGGCTCCCTGCTGAGCAGAGAGCCCGATGTAGGGCTCAATCCCAGGACCCCGAGACCACGACCTGAGCTGAAGGCAGGGGCCTAACCCACTGAGCCACCCAGGTGCCCCTATATATTTTTTTTTCCATTTTATTTTTATTTTATTTCATTTCAGTGTTCCAGCATTCATTGTTTATGCACCACACTCAGTGCTCCATGCAATACGTGCCCTCCACAATACCCACCACCAGGCTCACCCAACCCCCGACCCCTCTCCCCTCCAAAAGATAATATTTTAATAGTTTATCACTTTCCCATTCAGCTAAGCAGTGCTACCATTCTTATACACTGGATTTCCATTTTTCTTTTTTTCCATTTTTCTTTGCCTTAAAAAAAAAACTAGCTTTATTACGTATAAATGAAATATAATAAAATTCACTGACAATACATGCAAAATTTGATGAGTTTTGACAAATTTAGATATCCATGTCACGTATCTCCACAATTGAGATATAAAACATCTCTGTCACTACAAAAAGTTCCCTGTGTCCCTTTGCAGTTAATCCACTTTTACCACGCTCAGCTTCAGCTAACCACTATATTCTATTAGCACAGTTTTGTCTTTTCTGGAATTTCATGTAAACGGAATCACACTTTTGGAATGTTGGAAATGTTCTATTTCATGACTATGAGTGGTTCTGTAACTATACACATTTGCCAAACCCATCAAATTATATAATTAAACTTGGTCAATTTTATAGCATATAATGTACACCTTTAAAAGGTGACACACACAGAGACGCACAAATTCACTGGTACATCTTGGACCTTGATTGAATGTTTTACCCATGCATGATTTTGTAATATTATTCACTGATCATTTGGAAAATGCCAACTCATTGAATTATACAAATCTTCCAAGTATTAACACATTTCATTACAGAATTACCAAAAAAAATCATACTCAGTGTCTTCACTGGTCTCAACAGAAAGGTCTTTTGGTATTGGGAATGTGATAAGCTCGTGATTTTTCAAAACTCTAATTTTCACTTGAAAGCTTGAATTTTATCATTGGCAGCTAATACAGTTAAGAATTTCCCTGAAGTAACAGATGCACTGCATTAATTTTTGAGAAACTATCTGCAAATTTAGTCTGAAAAATCAGTGTTTGTCAGTTACATAAAATGACATTCCATGAAAAAGCAGCTGGTTTGGCTCACAATTCAAACAAGCACACAAATGCTTTTTTTCACTGAGGCAACCTTCACTCTTGGGATGTGGCAGAAGTGTTTTAGGTGTATTTTACACTTCATCACAAGGAACAGCGATGTGTACTCTAGGGTTGAGATTTAACAAAGTCAACAAATTTTACTGCTTCATCAAGGATATTCTTAAGGGACTCTGTGAGGTTTTTTGTTTTTAATATTTTATTTTTTTAAGTAATCTCTGCACCCAATTTAGGGCTCAAATTTATAATCCCGAGATCAAAAGTTGTGTGCTCTACTGACTGAGCCAGCCAGGCACCCCTGTGTTGTTTTTGTTGTTTTTAACTGCTAGTGAGGGGCAGTGAAGAATACAAAGTCTACCAGCATTATTTGGGTCCACTGTCCTGACTGGGCACCAGGACTCAGGCACCAGTACTTCTGTCCTCAGTATAAATGTCAGCACAGTGAAGAGACAATGTCTTCATATTACTATGATAATAGTTTTATTAGGCTCCCTGCACAAAGGTGTCTGGGACTTCTAGGGGGTCCATGGACCATACTTTGGGAACCACTACTTTTAATTCAAGTGAACCTTCTAGAGTAAGCTCAAAACTCAAAATGTGACTCCTTTACGTATGAGATTCTAAAAGATATCTAGATAGCTAATAAAAAGACACTTTCTAATTGAAAATCCAGAGGAACTTAAAAGGAGGCCTACAAGACCAATAGGACTAACTAACTTCATTCAAAAAACTGCAGCTTAGGGACGCCTAGGTGGCTCAGTCAGTTAAGTGTCCGACTTCGGCTCAGGTCCTGATTTGGGGCTCCTGGGATAGAGCTCCACAGCCTGACCAGCTTCCTGCTCAAGGGGGAGCCCGCTTCTCTCTCTTCCTCTGCCCATAGCACCCCTGCACCCCAGCTCATGCTCTCTCTCTCAAATAAAATCTTCAAATTCTTTAACCTTCGAATGTTTGCTTTCTTTCATTCTTTCTTTTTTTATAAGATTTTATTTATTTATTTGACACAGAGTGAGTGAGAGAGGGAATACAAGCTGGGGGAGTGGGAGAGGGAGAAGCAGGCCTCCTGCTGAGCAGGGAGTCTGATGCAGGGCTCGATCCGAGGACCCTGGGATCATGACCTGAGCCGAAGGTAGACACTTATCAACTGAGCCACCCAGGTGCCCCAAATGTTTGCTTTCTTGATCATAAATAGTTAACTAGTTTTGTATGGTTTTTATTTAAAGTAATTATCCAGAAATCTTCAGACAGCCAACAGATGAAGGAGGATCACGAGAATCTTGAGTATACCAACCTAGACCAGCTCCTTCCTACCTTAGAGCCACTCTATACTTCTGCCCCAGTTTCTCAATTTCAGCCATTACACAGTCAGTTATACAAGGGATACCTGCCAGGAAAAAAGTACATATTGATAACAGAACCTGTATAGAAACTGGTTTTACTCTCTCTGAATTAAACCCATTGAGAGTCTTTAAAAGACCCATGAGGCTTCTGGAATAACAGCAGAATAACACACTGAAATGAACAGTAAGAACAAGAGGTGAATAAAATCCCTATTGATGAGGAAAGTAGAGAACTGAACCGCCCCAATTCCACACTACAGATTCATAAAGTGTCAAGAATGTGCCTGGGGGAAAAATTAAGCTAGATCCCTGTCATTCTTTCTACATTAAAATAAATTCTAGATGGAAAAAAAATTTAAATACGAGCCCAAAGAAACCAAACAATTAATCAGAAAATGTAAATTTGATCCCATAAAAATAGAAAAACTTCTGTTTGACAGCTATGGAAGTCATATTAAAATAAAAATAAACTAGGAAAAGTACTTCTACACCTTCATCAAAGGGCAAATTTCTTTAATATACAAAGAGCTCGTTATGTTATGTGCTTGTCATGTGCTATTTGCCAGCCACTGGGCCAAGCACTTTAGGAGGATATCTCACTTCTTATTCAGAATAATTCCTATCAGGTAGCATTGTTATTATTATCATCCCCATTTTACAGATCAGGATCCTAAGGCACAAAGAACTTAAGTAGAAGCAAATGGTGAAGCCAAGACTTGAATAGAGACTGTCGGGCTATAGATTGGATTCTTTTTTTTCTTTTCTTAAGAGCAATACTTAATCCTAGTACATTGCTAGTTACCTCTTTCTCCCCATGTGTTGATATTTATTTTTTAAATTTTAATTTTCTTAACATATAATGAATTATTTGCCCCAGGGGTACAGATCTGTGAATCATCAGTCTTACACAATTCATAGCACTCACCATAGCACATACCCTCCCCAATGTCCATCACCCAGCCCCCCTCATCCCTCCCACCCCTTCCACCCCTCCAGCAACCCTCAGTTTGTTTATAGACTGGTTTCTTAACCACCACGGTACATTTCACTTCATACACCAGGTCACAGAGGAAGACATACAATGGTCAATGAATAAGGGTGCTCAATCTCACTCCTAATTGAAGAGCTATAAACTGAAACAAGATTTCATTTTCTACCTATTAGAGTGGCAAAGATTAAACAAGGAAAATACCCAATATTGAGGAAACAGGTATTCTCACTCTAAGTTAGTAAGTGTAAAAATATGTATTACTATTTTAGGGCAATTTTGCAATACGTTAAAGTAAGAAAATATACATACCCCTTGAAATTGCAATAGTTTCCTAGAAATGTATCCTAAAGAACGACTCCACCCTAACAGAGACATAGTTACACTGATATCCACTACAGCCTTATTTATAGTAAGGTAAAAACTGCAAGTAATCCAAGTATCAAATAGAATATTAATTTTTAAAAATTATGTAAATACTATGTAAACTTAAAAAAAAGAATAAAGTCCATTATATATACTGACACAGCAAAATGTTCAAGATATATTTTGTTCAAGGGGCACCTGGGTGGTTCATTTGGTTAAGTGTCTGCCTTCAGCTCAGGTCATGATCCCAAGGTCCTGGGATCAAGCCCTGCACTGGGGGAGGGGGGTCCCTGTTCGGTGGGAGTCTGTCTCTCCCTATTCCTCTGCCTTCTCCCCACCACTTGAGCGTGCGCATGCTCTCTCTCTAATAAATAAATAAATACCTGTTAAAAAAATTTATTTGTTATTTGTTCAATGTAAAAGTAAGAAAAAAATGGATGAGTAATCTAGCCATACAATGGAATGTTATTTGGTAATGTAAAGAAATGATGTATTGATACATGCTTTAACATTTAGCCTTGAAAACATGCTAAATGTAAGAGGACAAAATATTTTATGATCTCATTTTAATGAAATGTCCAAAATCGGTAAATCTATAGAGACATATGGCAAGTTAGTGGTTGTCTAGGGAGAGAAAGAGGAAAGGTTGGGGATGGTGGTTAAAGGGTTCAGAGTTTCTTTCTGGGTAATAAAATACTCTAAAATTGATTCTGAATACGCTAAAAGCCACGGAATCATACACTTTAAATGGTATGTGAATTTATGTCTCCAAGTTGTTAAAAAAGGCACAAAGACAAATTGTAAATAATCTAGGATCCATTTTCATTAATAAAATAAACAAAATTAACCTATAATTCACAGAGATTTTATATTACATTTTAGAGGGATACCTAGGTGGCTCAGTTGGTTAAGCATCTGACCCTTGATTTCAGCTCAGGCCTTGATCTCAGGGCCCTGAGTTCAGGTCCCACACTGGGCTCCACACTGGGTGTGGAGCCTATTAAGAAAAAAAGAAAACGTAAAAAATAAAAATAAAAACTGCCCCTCCCTGAGGAAAGGCGTTATAGGGGGCTTTAATGTTTTTATGCTAGATTTTTTTTGCACAAGTACAGAAATATTTTTGAACATGGACAAAGTTAAATTCTAAACTAAAGTACAACATCCAGAAGAAAAAGCAGTTGTAAAATGGAGGTATGAAATCAGTAAGATCAAACAGTCATGGAGTCAGAGGGCAATATGCAACTTAAGAGGGTCAATTTCAGAACCATGTAGCAGTAAACCAACCAAGGGCTTGCATATGGAGCAGGAAAGTTGGCCCAGGAAGAGGACTATCAAGAAAGGGAAGCTAACAGGGAAGAACACTCATGGGCAGAAAAGAAAGCTGGCAGAAAGCTAACTATCCTCCCTTGTTGGAGTATCAGGGAGGAATGGGACCAGGCCAAAGGCCAAAGGGGCATCTTCAAAGGAAGAGGAAGATAAAGGTCTTCCTTCAGGTATAAAGACAAGTGAGGAAAAATTAAATAGCTAGAGCTTAAAAACAGTCAAGGAATCTCCTAGGTAACTGAATTTGTACCCTACTTGACTATTTCTTCAACCTTTCCTTTGAGGTATTACGTTATACAGAAGACTGCAGAAAATGGTATTTTCCTTAAAAAGTTTTTATTTTATTATTACTATTACTTTTTTTTTTTTTTTTTTTTTTTTGAGAGAGGCAGAGACGGGTGGAGAGGCAGAGGAAGAGGGTGAATCTTAAGCAGGTTCCACGTCCAGCACGGAGCCCAATACTGGGTTCGATCCCACAACCCTGAGATCATGACCTGACCCAAAATCAAGTCGGATGCTGAACTGACTGAGCCACCAGTCAGTCTGAGGTATCCCAATAAGTTTGTTTTTAAAAAAGGCACAGTGAGAGCATTTAGCTGTACACATTATAGCTGTATTCCCAAGGTATCCATACCCAGAGAAAGCACTCCTCTCGGATGAGTGAGATAATAGTGATGGACCTATAGAGTCAAGGAAACAAATTGCCTTCAAAGGGCCATGACTGAACCTCCATCCATTTCATTTATAAGTAGGTCATTTATAAGTAGGCATTTCTAGATAAGCAGCTAGCACACTTTATTTATAGTCATAAAAAACACCACGGGAAAACTAAACTCTACCACATGTACTGTCTTCCCTCACCCAAGGCCACTCTAGTCCACTCTCACAGGAAGGTAGGGTCCCCATTTCAGGTTATTCTTTATTTTTTTAATTATTATTTTTTTAATATCTTTTCAGCATAACAGTATTCATTGTTTTTGCACCTCACCTAGTGCTCCATGTAATACCTGCCCTCCTTAATACCCACCACCTGGCTC